TCTCAAGCTGATACAAAACGCAGAGAACTCTCTTTTGAAGTAGGGGATGTGGTGTTTCTAAAGATACAACCCTATAGGCAAAAAAGCTTGGCTAAACGGCGATATGATAGGCTTTCTCCCCGGTTCTTTGGGCCTTACAAAGTTACACGCAAGGTGGGGCCTGTTGCTTATGAGTTAGAATTGCCTCCAGATGCTCGCGTTCATCCGGTGTTTCATGTATCAATGCTGAAACCAGCTAGGGGGCAAGTTCCAACTTCACCTATTGCTCCCCTCCCCATCACAAAGGATTGGAAATTTGACGTGCAGCCTAAAGAAGTTCTCTCTCACCGCTGGGTATGGGAAGCAGGTCAGCATGTGCTGGAGTTACTCATCTCTTGGTGTCAACGTCCAGTGGAGGAAGCTACCTGGGAGTGTTATGATCTGTTGCGAGCTCAATTCCCTTCCTTTCGACTTGAGGACAAGTCGTTTTACCGGGCGGGTAGTAGTGATAAGCCTCCAATCAGATTGGTATATTCAAGAAGGAAAAAGAAGATGGCAAAGGGTGGGCCGGCAGAAGTGGAGCAGCTCAAAATGTTAATGGGCATTTCAAACAACCCACTAAGTGGCTGAGTGGGTGGGTTACGTGGCAATTACCAACTCCCTTGGGAGTGGGTTTATTACTTAGTGTCATGTTATTTTCTTATGTGATTATCTTTTATTGTATTTTCCTTTGAGAATCTGGAGACTATCCCTTCTCAAATTGGGACTTGATGTACTTTTTTTAATTCTAAATTCAATCAAGCTCAAGCTTTATCAACCAATCTCGGCCAGGCTTCTTCGGCAATGTTCCATTCCTTCTCTGATCGACGCAGCTAGGATTTGCCACCAACACCCTCCTTCGTTCTCCAATGAAGCAGTTAGGGTTTTCCATCACCCCTCTCTTCATTTCCTGTCGAATCGCGCGGCTCTACTGCTAATTTTTGCCAGCTGTACGGTTCTTCTCGTATAGCTTGCTGTAGGATATAATTTGTGCTCTCTCTCTATGCTCGACGCCGTGAAACTCTTTGTCGCACTTAGGGTTTTGATTTGTCGATCAACTCTTCCTTCGCGACACAAATTAACACCTGCTGCATGGTTCTTCCGGTACAGCCAGTTGCATGTACGGGAATGTTTTCTGATTTTTAGCTCGTCTTGCTTCAAACTGAAGCTGCAAAAACAGAAACGCAGGGGAGATGGAGAAGGGTGCAAAATAAGAATAGGGTAGGAGGACAATTTAGAAAAGTAAGATGAAATTTTCAATGTGTCAGTCAACTTGGGAAATAAATTCTGAAGATGCGTGACACCCATCAAATGTGCATACGGAGTACTACTTCGTATTATTTTAGAAATAGACATGATGGAAATGTACTTAAGATATTTTCTTTTACTAGCAATGCACATATGCAATAATAACCAAGACATGAAAGAGCAAAAGAAAACCAAATTCTGCTTAAAAATGATTCTGATTCAAAAAGGAAGCACAATTAGGCAATACTACTACATGGTCCCGCAACCGAGAAAATTATGACGAAATGGTAAAAATCAAATTCCAAACTTGGATCTAGAGAGCGTTCAAGTGGTGGTGAGCTCCATGATAGCACTAACAATGTCTCCCTGGTGGGTCTTGAGAGCCTTAACAGCCTTGAACCTGGACACTCCTGCTTGTGTCATAACCAAATCAATGTCTCGAGGTTCAACTCCAGTCTCATCAATCTCTTCTTCTTCCTCCTCGTCCACTTGTGCAGCCACGGTGTTATCTGGCTTAGCCATAATGGAACCCCCCATGTCGCCCGGCATCCTAAACTGCTGAGCAGCCTGTGACTGGAGTTGAGAGCTCAAATCTTCTATCTTTGCCTCCCCAAATATGACATATGTCTCGGAATGTGGGCTTTTGAAGACATCCGGTTTTGAGATGAAGAATAATACCTGTCGCCGTTGTTGTTAAGATGAAGAAGACTCAGCAAACATGTGATTGATTTCAAATGCAAAATATACATTGTGAAATGACCAAAAATAGAACATGATACTCATACTTACATTCTTAGTTCTCTTAATTGTAACTCGGCTAACACCTGGAACAGGTTTCATTCCAAGTTTCAGCATTGCCTTGCGACTCTTCTTCTCACTCCTGCTCTGCTTTGAACTTCCATTGCCACCTGTTAAAACACCAATATAAACCATTCACAAAAAATTGTTAGAAACCATATACTCGTATTTATTTCACATAATCATCATCATCTTAATCCAAACATGTTGGGTTGCTGGCAAATCATCAACATTACCTTAATCCCAACAAGTACATGTTGGTGACATGATATTTAGTGTTAGTTAATTAGCACCATAAAACAATGCACGAAAAACAGTTGATATGTTTTATGTTGTACGTCCTCTCTGCAGCAACATTCATACAACCAACCTAGTAAAATCCCACGAATGGTGTGTCGCAACCTTCATAATATGGAATAATGAGATGAAAGTTTAAAAACAATGGTTATTTACACATGCAAGGAAAATTTCATGAGACAGTGATTGATTGAGAACTGAGATGTTTTTCAAGTGTCATCTTCATTAGGAGATAAATATTGCAAAACCAACAGGTAAGACATGGTATATGACCAGTATATCTATCACAAATCATGTTCAGAAAAACCTCACGGCAGCTAATATAACGGGGCAGTCAAACAAATATAGTCCAAACTGCTCTTCTTTATCACAAAATAACACATTCCATGCATAGTTATCAGAACCAAATAATCAAATACGAAGATGGTAAAGACTAATCTTCAAAGACTTATCAAGGATAAATACAGACAGTCACATATTCTTGAAATTGTGAACTTAAGCACTACACTAAGCAATCCATAGACATCTAAGGTCATGATTTCATGAGATATCTAGTCCTAATCACAGCCATCATTTCTATAGTAAACATCAAAATGGCAATTTTATTGAACACCATACATTGCTGAATCAAAACTAAAATGTTAGGAATTATTTGGATATACATAGAGTGCACCCTGAAATAAGAAATTAGCAAAGAACAAGATGAGAAAGGATAAAGACTAATCTACAAACATCTGAGCAGAACAATATATGAAATATGTAGATAGTGAAAACTAATCTACATGGACACATCCGGAACATTCACATTGTGTGAATGATACAGTCACACACTCACACACTCTTGAAAACATGAACTTGAGCCCACACTAACCAGTATAATATCACAATCATCATTTCACAACTATAACTACTACAGCAAACACTAAACATCAAAATGTTGAGATTATTGAGCACAATACATTGTTGAATCAGATCTAAGATAATTGGAATTAGCCGGATATGCATCTTAATAGGGTAAACAGATTGCACCCTGAAAGAGAGAATTGAAAAAGAAGAACGAGATTAGTCAGAGGTTAAACATGGCGAACAAACCTTGAGCTCCTTCTTCCTTATCATCGTCTTCATCGTCAGAATCGTCGACATCATCATCGTGTTCGTCGTTCTCATTCACATCTTCCACAACTGGCGCATCTTCCTGCTTCACCAAATATCATGCGATTATACGGAGATTATACTGAGCATTTTTCTGAATTCTAGGAATTCGGAAATGAAAAGTTAATCGAAACAAATTCGGAGATAAGGATGAAAAAGAGATGTACATGGAGCTTCTTCTCAACTTCGACTTCTTCGATGATCGGAGCAGGCGCCATCTGTGATTCTTCGCTGTTGTTTGTGGTTTAGACGACGGAGAGAAGATAGCGAAGTGTGGGTAGGGTTTCCAAGGAGAGTTTCCTTATACGCAGCAGTTTTTAAAGTCCCGTTTGGCTGGCAGGATAAAGACTCAGCTGTCGCCAGTCACTGTAGCACAAAAACAAAGGCATACACAAACAATGAATACTATCCATTTGTAAGCAACCATGCTTGGGTTACACAAAAGAATATATCTCAAATACTCTAAATAGATGCACCGATATTTTAACGATTCAAATTAGCATAAAATGCAAATTCAATAAAAAATTGCATTGTCATTTCGCGCCATTGTAAATCATCACACTAATACTACATTAGCACAAAATGTCGGCATGTCTTTGAAGTATAAAGTGGGGTATACTTTTGGAGTACAAATAGATTAAATCATTTGTGTGTTTTGAAGTAGAAATGAGCACAAAGGATTGAGAGAATAAGTTGAGATTAGAGCGGAAAAGATCTGAACCAAATTAGCCTTGAAATGTGGTCCAATCTTAAACATCTAGTCTCATTAGGCTATCGGTGGAGCCTCACCATTGCTCACTCTAAAGCTCCGTTCCGTTCAACTTATTTTTTGTGATCGGATCTGATTTTAATAAGTTCTGATCTGATCTAATTTGATTGGATCTGATCTGATTGAATCTGATTTGATTGGATCTGATCTGATTGAATCTGATTTGATCTGATTGAATCTGATCTGATCTGATTGGATCTGATTAGATCTGGTCTGATCTGATTAGATCTGATCTGATTGCATCTGATCTGGTCTGATCTGATTTGATTAATTATGATTTGATTTAAAATTCAAATCAATAATTTGATTTGACTTTATAATAACGTTTGAAAATTGTAATGATAATTCATATTATAATATAATCAATATTTTGTAATTAATGATTATTTTTTAATAAAATAAAATTAGTTAATTCATATATTAGAATAATCATTCATATTATAATGTAATAATATTTTTTATTTTATGATTATTTTTTGTGAAATTAGAATATTAATTTAATATTTTAATTATTACTTCATATATACATAGAATAAATATTTAATTTATATATACATTAAAAAGTAATTAAATTTAGATAATCAATATATAGAAGAGATAGTAATTACTAAAATATCTCATCCTTATAAAAGATCAAAACTTTAGAAACTCATTACAAGTAGCAATAAAAATATATTTTAAAAGTAGAATTTATTAACATTGTCAATGTATTTTAAAACTAATTTTTCCGACGTCTAATAATTAAGGATTACTTTCTCAGTTTTCTATTTAACCTGTTTCTAAAGTTTATTCTTTTTAATTTTTAAGAACAATAATAACAATAACAATAATGATGATGATGATGATGATGATGATGATAATAATAATAATAATAATAATAATAATAATAATTCTTGATGGGATCTGATTTTAATAAGTTCTGATCTGATCTGGTCTAATCTGATTTTAATAAGAATAAGAAAAAATAAGTTGAACGGAATGGAGCGTAAATCAGTAGCTACTCTGATCACAATTGTAGTATTTCACTTCCACTGCTATGATTACATTTTAATTTTTATTTAATATTTACATATGTCTATTCCAATTACATTCTATCTTATTTTTTATATAAAGAAAATAATTTTTTAAACATATCCTAAATAAAATACTACTAAAAAATTGAAAAAAATATTGAAGCTAAAAAATATATTTCAAGATTTTGCTTAAAAAATACAAACAATAAAAAACCCAAAAAAAATATGATAAAAGAAAATTCACATCCAAGAAAGCAACTCATCGAAAAAAAACTTAACAAAAGATGGAGAAACCAACTAAACAAAAAAAAACTAAAAAAAAAAACAAAACAACAGAAATCAACAAAGTAGAAATTAAAGCAACTCGGCGAAAGGAAAACCGGAGCATTAATTGCTCTGCACTTGCTTCTCTCCGTGTGGGGGGTTTCCCACAACTCCCCCACGTCTGTCTCCTTGGTTGGGAGAGGATGCTCGTCTTCGAGCAAGGGAGCGAGCCTATGATGTTGCTGAAGACTTAGTCCGTCCGCCCGTGATTCGGGTCATCAAATCTTCATATCGGGACGAATAGCCATCATCTAGACGGTCAAACGCTGACACCCGCTGCCTCTTTGGCTTTGGTTCTCCAACCCGTCAAAGATGGAGATGCATTCGAATGAGGATGACTCGTCTCCCCCCCCCCCACGGGAGCCAGCACATCCGTCAAGGGTGCCTTCCCATTGGCCTTACTTGCTTTCTTCTTTTGGGAGTGACAAGTTTTCTTCTTCCTCTTCCGATCCTCGCCGATCCTTCTCCCTTTGCTTCACTAATCCTAGAGCCTCCATAAGACCCTTCCCTCGGGGTGAAGATGGCAGCAACACCAACCTTGAACTGTTCAGAGGTGATCCTAATCCTGTCAATGAGGCATTGGGTTTCATTAGTAGTTACTCGTGGTCAACGACCACCACTGCCTTCCCCTTTTACATTGGGGTTGCTAATAGCGTGGTGAGAATTACTTTGTGTGTGCACCATCTTTGTCTCACTGGAGTTAACCTCAAGCAAAGTTTTTCAAGCTCTCAATGAGAGCACTAATTTGATGGAAATAAACTCCATCGAAGAATTCAACCCAAAAGGTTTAATCAGATTATGTCATAGATGAACAAAGAATGATTCGAAAATAGAGCTTAAGAAAACGAGCATGAAGCAAAAGTATTGTAATTGTATTAATCATGTCTTGTATAATGGCTCTCGCCTCTAGTTATAGGTCTAATGCTAGAGCAATACAATGAAAGTGAAACATATGGAAGGTCCAATCGTCCTATTCATTTTCCGCCATTAATGCTCGACCTGGTAGTCCTGCTCAATCAATAATCTGGTAGAGTCAATCCCGAGAAAGATGGACGATACTTTTCCTTGTGCACGATTGGGCCGAGAACCCATTCTCGACTTTCATGGCCACGAGGCTGCCTGAAGACCTGCTTTATCCCTTACATGTACTTCCCTTTCTCTCGTTGATATTGGGTCAGACCTGGACCACGCAAGCCCAATATCCCACATGTTGAAAATCATGAACATCTCCGCATTATCGAGCTAGTCTTTCGCTTTTTGATTTGATATGAGTGCAAAATTTAAAATTATTTTTGGCCGAATGCGATGTAGCTTACCCATGCGAGTTGGGCGACAATATTTGGACTCAGTGTTGTTAAGTCTTAAAGATGGCAAGATTCTTGATTCTGTTATTCTGTTCCGGAGCATCCAGGTCTGTTATTTTGTTCCGGAGCATCCAGGTCCCGTCCTTAAAATGTCCTAGTTTGTTTGAGACGATAAAACTTTGTTCCAAACTCGTCCCATTCCGATTTAAAATGGAACTGGATCGAGACAAATAAAAAATATCTCTTTTCGTCTTATTGACTCGTGTATTTATGTCTAAACTCAAATACTTATTCACATTACTCTTTCTAATCCAATTTTGTAAGATTTGTAAACTAAAATTTTATTATTTTAATGTTTGCATAAGCTTTTATTGCACTTTTTTTGAGAATTTTTTTCAAAATGTTTTTGTATAAAATTTTTAAATTAGTTTTTAAGGTTTTACAAATTTCTATGTTAACATTTTAGGAAAAATTAAATTAAAACATTTCAAACTGTTTCAATTTGTCTCGGTACCTAAATAAAAGTGTCAAAAAAGAACATGTCCTGTCCCAAATCATTTTGATTTGTTTCTATAAAACGAGATTAGGATCGAGACACTAGAAACTCGGACTTTAATTGTGTATATGGGTTTTTTTAAAGTTATGTATATGGGATTGTCTAATATACCAAAAAAAAAAAATACCAACTCTTTGCATTGGTGTGATTGTAGATAGTTTTTGATTTAAAGGCTTGATTTTCGCTTCCACTATGTAGCGGAGGTACAACACCCCGGGTCGCAGCCTAGAACATTCCCAGTCTCCACTATGTTGCGGAGGTATACCACACCTGTCGCACTCTTGTATCGGCACGTTTTTCTTTAATTGTTCGTAAATTAGCTCTGTAACGACGAAGTTATTGATCTGGGTTGCGCTGAATTTATATGTCATCTTTGATCTGATGCTATTCCCCAAATTTTGGATATGCTTTTTGATTGCGGGCGATATAGGGTTTTTGAATGCCATTTCGAACTATTTGCAGGCACATTTTGCAGGTTTCCATCCGTCGACCACTTGTGAGGCTTCCCTCTCAGGTTGTGATGCAGTCATGTTTCTCGATTTCATTTGATTTTTTGTGTATTAATCAATTTCCTTTGTGTTATATGCTGTTCTAATCTTGTATGCCTAGCTATGAAATGCTTGTGTTTGTCTTGTGTGGAAAGGAAATGAAAGTAGGGCCTTCCACATTTGTATAGGTGAATCACAATTCCAAATTAGAATTTAGAGTGATCATAGGATGGGGTTTCATGGAGTTCCTGCAACTTGGAAGCCATCAAACACTGTTACTTTATGACTTTCTTGGTTCAGAAAAGCAATTTGCGGAATGTTTAATGGTTGTATTAGCATATGGTGCAGACAGCATTGGTAGCAAATATGTTTCTAACTGAATATTATTTTCTATTCATTATGAAATGGAAACTCCAACTGTTATGGTATTACGTCACCATGCTCTCTCCTAACTCTCCGTTGCATCCTATCTTTTTTCAATATTTAGCTGAGGGGAGTATGGGACTAGTTGCAGAGCAAAGCAAGTAAAAAGAGGTTCTAGTGTTTCCTACGAGAGACTGTTCTGCCCTATCAGAATGATTTCAATTGCCAAAGACCTTGTGGTCCAGTGGCATGGTAGTGACTCTCACATATGGGAAGTCACAGATCCGATCCCCAATGGAGTAATAACTCTACGTGCTTAATTAGTTGAGAATGTATGAATAGATACTACATTATAATAGAGTTATTTGTGTTAAAAAAAGAATTATTTCAATTATTTTGTTTAGATCCAAGGAAGCTCTGAAAGATTACAACATGCAATAAATTGACACCAGTCGGGCACTGAATCTGTAATACAATTATGATCTAACATCACCTGCATTTTTTTAGGGCATATACTCATGAGTTGCTTCTTGATCATTTTTTTTGCATATATAGATTCTTTTATACTTCACCTTCTCCTTGTCATGAACCAGTATTTCGAAAATTTCTATATATTTATGCTGATTAACATTTTAAATGAACTTATGCTTGCGGATTTCTTGTTTACATGTTGCTGGTACAACATGAGCAGGTACCTTCATATCTTTCTCTAAGAAGAGAATACTCGGTTCAACCCCAACATAATAGACCTCAAGGATCTGGATCATCTGGGAAGCCTCCTGATTCTGGAAGTCTTTTGCCAAAATTTGCCATTGGGAGTGTTGCATTAAGTGCTGCATTCATTGCAGCTTATCAAACTGGGTATTTGGATAAATATCTAATCAAAGAGCCACATGGAATCCCTGAGTCAACAAATGCTGGTGCCACTGTTGCAGATCCAGAGAATTCAAAAGATTTTAATGACATTAAACATGATAGTGCACATTTAGGAAAATCAATAGCCGAGCATAGTGTGTACGAGTCAAATGCATCAACACGTAGTGTAGAGGAAAGCTCAAATGTGCCTATCCCTAATGTGGCTCATTCTGCCGAAAGCACCAATAGTTATTCCGACCGTTCTCAGGTAGATAGTACAAGCGTAAACCAAGATAATAGCCAGTCTCAGGTTAGCAGTTCCCAAGAATTAACTGATGAAGATGCCAATAATATCCAAGCAAATGACAACATGGGGTCTCCTAGCATCATGTCATCTAACAGTGCAAAAGGTGGTTCTGATCAACCTGAAGATCGGTTTGTCTTCAAAAGCCAAGTTGAGATTCCTGACAATGAATCTCATGAGGCAGTTAAAAGTACTCCAACACTTAAACAAGATGAGAAAGTTCCAATCAAAAGCGAAACAAACTCCACAGCCACACAGGCTGTGAGCATTCATAGCCAGCCTCAGGTACAAGCTGATTTATATTCTCAAAATCAAATGCCAATTGCATATATGAATCGGATATATTATGGATCACTAAATAGTTCAGATTACAGGAGGTTCCTCATGACATAACCACGCAACCTAGTCCACTTGTTGATGAATATTATCTCAGACATAAGGATGAATCTCCCGAAGCTAATCCCTCCGACAAGGTATATGAATATATGATTTGCACTTATTAACATTTCATTTGAAAAAATGCAAAGAATTCAACCCACCTCATCTACGAACATGAATACCAAACCCTAATCTTTGTTCCATTAAGTTAAATTGGTCTATTTTCGTAAAGTAGCAAATTAACTTTAACAAGTATGTGTATTTTTTAGTCTGTCACATTAATCACCTTGTTCATAATGGACTGATTTATTGTTGAGTTTGAAACTGAAGGTTTTTGAAGATCTGAATGGTGCTTACATATCAAAGGATGGGAAATTGGTTCTTGATTTGATACAAGCTATTCATGAAGCCGAGAAAAGGCAGGCAGAGATTGATTCCCGTTTCTTTAATGAACAAAAGAAAATAATGAAGGTTCGGCATTAATCATGATGTACATGAGCTACGCTTAGAACATAGCTGCGTCATTTGAGTTCCTCACTTCTTTTGCTGCATATTTTGAATTTCTAATGAAACTAGGAGAAATACGAAAAGGATCTAAAGGATGCAAGGGTCAGAGAGCTTATGTATGCTGAAAAGGAAGCATTACTTGCTAAGGTTCTTGAACAATCCATGTTCTCTCGTAGTCTTCATCCCATTGTTTTTTCATATATTTCATTTAACTAGTGTGCTGACTTCTACTTTACTTCTATACCGCTGAGATGATTTTTGTTTGTTCTATGTGAAGCAATGAGTCAAGTTTTTTCCGTTTGTCTTTTCAATCCACATGCCAATTTGCAAGTCTCTATCCCCAGATTTCCTTATTTTGAACTAAACCTAGGAGATTTAGAGTCATTTTACACCTTTAAATTATATTGTGTTCCTTTAATCACATTACTGTTCTAAAGTGAAAGTTAACAGTGAGTGTAATGACAGGAGTTAAAGAAAGAAAGAGCTAGGGCAATTTCTGCCCTAAAATCACTTGAAGAAAATTTGGAAGAAAAACATAGAAAGGAGATTGAAGAAAAGGTACCTTTTTGTGCTCAATATGCAATCATTTTGTAGTTTTTGGGACATGTGAGTTTCCTGTTAGTTAGGTAAAGAGTTCTAAATTGAAATTGCTAATATGTGAAACTGCAGGAATCTGATGCTGAACTGAATCTTAAGAAAATACAAGAGTTGTCAAAAGTAGAAGTGGCAACAGCTATTGCAAGTGAGAAAGCATCCCAAATTGAAAAGATGGCAGAAGCAAATCTCCATGTATGTCTTCTACTTGCACTATGTTACTACGCAGGAGCTCTTATATAGTGCCAATGTTAAATAAAAAAATTCCTGTAGTAAATATGATTCCCATTTTATGGTATGATGACCTTCAAGGTTATGGGGGAAATATAGTAGCTTGAGATTAGAGGTCCTCACTAAATTAAGGGCACAGTTGGTTTGAATTATTTGATATGCAGATTTTAGAAATAGGTGTTTTTGAGTGAGGTGATTCTGGCTCTGAGAATGTAGAATGAGATTGGTTATGTATTTGGTTGGTCATTTAAAATTTAATTTTGTAAGGTTAGTTGAATAGAATCTTCTCATTCTTTTGAGGAGTATATAGCCGACTCTTAAGAATCAGATTTTTGTGGCAGACAGATATCTGATTTTTTTCAGAATCTAAAACAAATGCAACACTTGCCTAATTTTGGGATGAAAATTGACAGTACTAACAGAATCTGATTCTCAGAATTAGAATTGATGGAATCTGATTTACATAATTTGAACCAAATCACTCCTAATTTTACAGTTTTGTAAACACCCACTTTTCCAACCCCCTTCAACAGTTCCACCATGGCTTCAATCAGAAATACTATTATTGCTTCTATTAGAATATCCATTTCTTTTCTCTTACCACTATATATCTATTTATATGTAGTACTATTTATTAAAATATGTAATACACCTTTGAAATTCTGGTGTTTAAATACTAAACATCACTTATACGATTATACCCATCACAAAATCATCTATTAAACTTCTAAAAGTAAATGGATGTAATGGATTACTCAGGTGGGATATTATGCCAGAAATTATTTCTCTATTTTTTAGAATACAAAAAAACAAGCCCAATCAACTCAGTTCGGGTTTCGGGGGGTCCAATATATGAACCAAGGATGGTAGTCAATCTATGGAAAGATAAAAGATAACAATATATAGATTATAGAACAAATAATGTTGGACAATATAAACTCAAAAGTGAAAAAATATTTTTGTATGAAAAGTATGAAATCAGTTAAATCACTGTTGAAGCCTAAAATGAAACAAATTTAAAAGAAAATCACTACCAGTAGGCAGCAGGTAACCATCACCCATAGCATACTCTGTTTCGCCTATTATTAGCCTATTACAGTATAACCTGTACTCCTAATATATAGTTAAAAATCTTAAAGTAAAACCTGGGCAAAAATTCTTGAGTAGAGACCCAGACCAGTACGAAGGGAGAAGGCGAGAAGCAAAGCTTGAAGAGGAGTGTGATAACTGCAAGTATTTGTGGGTATTTGTGCGGGAGAAGGAGCCTATATATTAAAGCAAACAATCGTCTGGAAAAGTTGCTTAAAAATCGAAGCGACACAAAAAGCTTTTCAAATTTCCGCAGTGGATGCGTTTCAATTTCGATCAACGATCTCAATCGATTGTGCGATTGTATGATCTAGATCGGCGATGGTGTTGATTCAAATGAATTTTGCGATTTTGATCGCGAGTCGGATCGGAAATTGTCTGGCGATCTCCTGAATTGTACAATCGTACGATCTGGATCGCGATTTTGACTACCATAAAAAACAATATTTTTACACTACATTATTTTACTTGATTTGAGCTAACAATGTTTTCAAAAAATGTCTTTCATATATGTGTGTACAAATTCAACATAAAATAGGTTTTTTTTATTTATAAATTCTATAAATGGTTGATGAACATGTCTTTCAGTTTCAAATTGGAAAATGGAAACTGAAGAATGAAATCTGGAAAAGTATGGAAACCATTAAATTAAGTAAACATGCATAAATGTTGCAGGTTGCTGTGTTTTTTTTTGTACCACAACTATATGCGTGGGCACACACAAACATTGCACTTACATACACATCTATGTTATATAGCATTTCATTTCCAATATGTTATGCAAACAATTTTCTACTTCCTCTGTTTTTGAGGAATAGGTCCCACACTGATCCTAGTGCTGATTTATCTTGTGAATATTAGCAAAGAAGAATATTTGGAAAGTGTAGTAACATACTAACAAATGCATTATAACTTGAAATGTCTGGGAAGATTGACATTGATCTACTAAAGTTGGCTAAATGCATAATTTAACTTTACCCATTAACCATTTAAACCAGGGATGAAAGACATGTTTGATTCAACCAAGAATTCAATGCTTTTAATTTTGGACCAGATGCCATAGCTTACTTTAGTAGCATGTGAGTTCATTTTCTTACAGTAATCTGAAGTTGTTCATGACAAAATTGTTGTTCAGAAAACAAGATAAAATTCAAAGGGTATACGGAAAAGGTGAAAGCAGAATTGTTCTTTTATTGCTTGTTTAATCCAAAATAAAATTTAATTGCAGCGTTTGTTATTCCTTCAGTTCTGTTACATCTGGAATGATATTTACTCAGACTGCTTATTCTTTGCAGATAGATGCCTTGTGCATGGCTTTTTATGCACGCTCCCAAGAAGCTAGGCAGACTCATTCTGTTCACAAGCTTGCTTTGGTAAAAAGAAAAAGCCTTCTTATCTTATAATGTTTTTGTTTTATTAAAACAAGATTCATGTATTCAACGATCTAATTGTTCTTATCCAAGGAGAAGGTCCTCTTTTTAACCATTTCATATCTTTTAAAACTCAGCCCATCAAAGTAATGTTAAAGTTATACGATTGGAACATATTTCAAATATTGCAAAACTCATCTTCTGTAGTACAGAGTACTTTACATTCATCTTCCACTTGCACTGCAGATGTAGTCATGTTAGTTTGAATTTGATCTTTTACTGTTGCCTCAGGATATGGGCTGACTGCCACTATATGCTTTAATTACAGTTGCAACTTCGACTCATCTACTTGTCTCACCTAGTTCACAAATCACAAGCAAGATTCCCAAAAACACGCTTAAATTATTATTATTTTTGCATTGATGCGTACTGTAGCTGAATATTACTAGGTTATGAACTCCTAAAAAATCAGCTAGTTTGAGATTAATAGAATTCCAAGGCACATGTTTGTCTATTTTGTTCATCAGGTTTAGTCAGTAGACTATACTACAATTGTTCTTGCAGGGGGTACTTTCATTGGAAGATGCCCTGTCCAAAGGGCTACCAATTCAGAATGAAATAGAAGCTCTCCACCCTTATCTTGAATGGATTGATAAAGATTCTCTTCTAAAGTTGGCTTTCTCATCTCTTCCTGAAGAAACACTGAAGCATGGCGCAGATACATTATGGCAACTGAATCACAAGGCAAGACATGTTTGACTGTGATTATGCCGTTGGTAGTTTCAGCCTGTTTCTTGCATACCTTCTTTTCAGCCTTAACCTTCTGTTTTATTGTCCTAAAAGTCCGAGAACAATGTGGGGTTTAATTGGGTTACCGCTAAATAAGATAGGTTCTTTAGATTAGCTCATAAACAAATCCGGAGGGATCAGCACTGCAGTATCAAGTTGTGCTTCCTGGAAACTAAAGGACAGACCTCCATATAGGCAGTGAGAATGAGATTCCTGTTAAGAGGGGTGAATGCATGTGTGTGTGTGTGTGTGTGTGAAGCAAATATATAAGTAAATGTTTGGATGACATTTATAATAAGTTACCTATGGGTGGGTATATTTAATGACCTGCTTTATTTGCAGTTTGATGATTTGAAAGGATCGATTCGACACTTCAGTCTGATTCCACCGGGGGGTGGTGGGATTTTGACACATTTTTTGGCTCAGGTTGCGTCTTGGTTAAAGGTGTGTGCTTGCATTGTAGTAGATACCACTAATTACCCAGTTTAGTTCCCTGCACAAATCTTTATCTTTGCTTCTGATTTTGTGTGCTTGAGTACAGGTCCATGAGGTTGACCGATCAGGCGATGGTATCGAATCTCTCATGAACAAAGTGGAGACCCTTTTGGCGGAGGAGAAACTAATTGAAGCTGCAGATGAACTGGAGAAGGGCGTGAAGGGCACCGAAGCTGCAAAAGTTGTTGATGAATGGGTCAGGCGCACTCGTAACAGAGCCATTGCCCGTCAAGCACTAACCCTTTTGCAAGCCTATGCTTCTACTATATCAGTCTGAACTGAAGAACCTCATGATGACTTCCTCATATGGTTTCTTTGGAGAAAATCCGGGCTTTCAATAATTACAATATACGGGTATTTTGCAAGTGATTGCAACCTTTATTCTATCGTTGTGATCCCACCACATATCCATGCATATCTATTTCTTGTATGTCAGGTTCAATTAGAGTGGTGTTCTTGAATTTCATGTATCGAACTAAAACAATATCGATATGGAAAATGCTATGTGTACCCCGGTTTTGTACCCCAGGGGTACACCATATAAAAGGCCAACCCCCACCCCCATATCCCTCTCACCCACCTAGTCTCTCTCTCTTTGTCTCTTTATTCCGATCAATTGCACCAAGCAACCCTCTTCTTCGCCGGTCAACGATTCTGCTCCCCTTTTCCGCCTCACTCCCGTAGTCCAAAAGCTCCAGCCTTCATCGCCTTTCTCATCCTCGCATCTGCCTTGTTCATCTTCCTCGGTACCGGCTTCCTTCGTCTTCATCTTCCTTTTTCCTCTGCGACGTCACCCTCCACTCCAAATCCCCGCTGACGGCCTTCTAATTCACACTTCCGCTCCGGTAAATCAAATTTCTATTTGGTTTTTGACATAAATCAAATTTGATTTTGTTCATTGCTAAATCTGATTTTGTTCATTGTTGGAGGAAATTTTGATTTTCCAATCCGATTTAGACAAAAATCAAATTTGAATTTTTGTTCACAGATCTGATTTTATTGCTGCACTTTCCCAATTTTAGTTTTGTGTTGCAGCTTTAGGTAGCTATTACTTGCGAGTATTTAAAAAATTTGTCAACTCTCTAATAGTTGTGAGGTAATTTGTCACTAGTGCACAGTTTGTAAACTTTATGTGTAGAATGTTTTCAGATTTCTTAGTAGAAGAATATAATGTTAGCTTAAATGCAAGGAGACTGAAACCAATTTTTAGAATAGTCACAATAGCTTAATAATTAGTTTTGAACAAATTTGGCTTTCTTAAGAAATAAAATTTCTACCCATTAGTTTTAAAATCTCATTCTTTCATGCCAAAATTACACAATGAATCATGTGAGAATGCAGTTGGCAGCGAATGATATTGGACTTGCAGTATCAACCTATAGTTTGACTATATCAAATCCTTCTCAAAGTTTGGTTAGAAGGTACTGGCAATATAAGCTAAATCATATTTACTCGTTATAGAGTATATTTCATCTATGTATGTTGAATGGTTTGTGACAAGAGGTCTAGATTCTTTATCTACACTCTCACAGACATACTATGTTTGTAAAGAAAATCTTACAGACACGTAATGTCTATAACACATTTAACTGACACTAGTATGACCTATCAAATTTGCAATCCCTGCAAAAGTTCACCAATATCACTCAAGCTTACTCATCTCATTCCGAATTGGTGCAATAATTGAATATGTTCATTTGATTCCAATAGCTTTTAAAACGTGTTCCAAACAAAGTGACATTTCTTAATTGTTTGTTTGTTAAGTTTCAGAGTTGGACTTGTATACCCTTGTGGTTGCTTTTGATGTAGAAGATTGGAAGTTAGAAGATTGTAGGTAGTTGTATTTGGATTTCTATTATTTTAAGAACCTCATTTGGATTTCAGAACGGGCGATTGGCCTTGGCACTTGGGAATTTAATTAAATTTTTTTTTAATTTAAAACATACTGTAATGGTGGAAGATTTTGTACGCTGCATTTGCAATGTTGGTTGTAGAATTGTTTTCCTTTTATTGGAATTTGTTTTCACTGGATGATATTTCAACTTATTTTAACTTAGTGTGCATTTGGTAGCCTAGAAAATAACTTGGGTTTAAGCATTTTGATTTGTTTTACTTTTATTCTTATATCATTGGTAACGTAGCTTGTAGAGGATTGGGTGTTTGTATTTTTTGAGGGGCTTTGGTTTGGTTCACTCCTCTCCTCTTGTATCATTTGATAAAAAGTATTTTTGGTGTATTAATCTCTTTGAACACAGTATTTATGATTAAGCATTCACAAGCAATACATGTCTATGAATTCTATGTCTAATTCAATAATGGTTTGTGAGAAGAGATCTAGGTATTTTATCTTCTCTACGTTTGTGGAAGAAGTCTCAGCTCATAGATATAGTGCATCTGTGAAAAAAGAATTACAAACACACAATAGCTGTGGTATAGCTTGTAATTTGATGCTATTTAATTTGTTTTGTACTAAATTTATCAAAATAACTCACTAACAATAATATTTCACAATTTTTTAACAAAATTGCAAATTAGAAATATTCATTGCTCAAACACCAAACGTCTATAATTACTTAAGACCAGACATATAGTGGTTGTAAATTGTATGAAAATTGCATCCGTCATATTCGTCCAATATAACAAGAATGTTTCACAAATTTTTCTATATTTAAAAAACTAAAAACTACAATTCGAAGTATTTGATCGTACAAATGCATTAAACTTTAACAACCCTATCACAAACATAGTTTGTATGTGAAAATAATATTACAAACACATAATGTCTGTGACGTACTTATGCAGCTCACAAACATTAGTGTCTGTGAGTTTGTAATCACAAACATTATGTGTCTGTGATTAGGGCTGTGCAATATTCGGTCCAAACCTGGACCGACCCGAAGACCGGCCAAAACCGGACCGTACCGGTTCGGACCGGTCCTAATTCGGTCCGGTCTCCGGTCCATTAATTTTCCATATCCGGGTTCCGGTCCGGTCCGGTCCAAACCCGGTGAGACCGGTGGACCGACCGGTGGACCGGTTATATGGGCTTTTATTTTACTATTTTAGACTTTTAGTATGTGGGCTTAAGTACCATACATTACCTCTGGAATCCACCTTAATACACAAGTAACACAACCCTATCCAATAAGCAGTAGCTAGTAGCAAATCCACATACCACTCTCTTCTCGCCGACAAAAAAATATCAAAGGACAAATACTTCGTCAACTGCGATTCCGCCGAATACTCCGACAAGCCACTGCAAAACTTCTCCCCTAGTGCAATTCGATTCCCCCAGTGCAATGCTAATTCGATTCCGCCGAATACTCCGACAAATTTGTATTGACTATTGATTATGGGATTTTTTTGGAGGATTGGAGTATGTTGTTTGGAGCATTGGAGTAATGGAGTATTTTGTTTTTCTCAATTCTATTAATTTTCAAAGAAATTGCCATTCTCCCCCAGTGCAAATCTTCAAAGTTTCAATTAATTGGCATATTTCCCTTATTCGGGCTGGTCCGGACCGGTCCAGTTTTTTCGGTCCGGTCCCGGTCCGGTCTTATACTTTGTCGGTCCGGTCTACGATCCATTACTTTGTAAATGCCTAATTACAAACAATAACTAAATTTCTCAATTAACGATATTAACTACATGTACAAGTGAATCCCATAGATGTGTTTGTTGTAATGTATTGATAGTTTTGATTTAAATGTGTTATTAGCTTCACAATGTATTGCCAACTTCATACATTTGTGACCAAACACACTGAATACGTCAAATATGACAAATCATTCGGTTAGAAGAACAATTCACGACTTTTTGAACAAAAAAATCAAATTATAGTTTGGACTTTGGAACGCTTTGATCACATAGACATTATATGTTTGAAATTATTTAAATTCTTTTTGTGTACCATGTATGAAAATTACACACATCAAATATGTGAAAGAATCAATAAATAATACTCCTTCCATCCCAAAAAGTCATTCACTATTTCATACCTAATCTATCACATCATACCTATCAAACTTGCACCTATCAAATATACCAAATAATATAGTAGTAAGAGTTCTTCACAAATTCTTCTTATATTGTGAGATTAAAATAAATATGGATAAAGTCATGTTTGGTCGCATAGACAATAAGCGTCTGTAATTCATTAGAAATAGATGTTTATTGTCTCTTTAACCCGTGTAAAAATTAAATGCATCAAGTATACCACATAATGGAGCATAAAGAATATTTCATTATTTTCTCCAGATTATAAAAAAAGCTTTAATTATCACTTTCTACTTAAATAGACATTCAATATCTGAAAGTCTTGATACAACAAGAACATTCTATAAATTTCTTAGTGTTTATAAAAAGAGAAAAACACTCCAATCAGCACTCATTAGTTAAACACACACCAAAGTTCTATAATTGTTCCAACAAAAACATTTACTGAATGTGTACTCTAGATGAAGATTACACCACGATCTCTGCCAAAATCTACAGCTCCGGCTACGTTGTTGAAGACAAAAAATTGTGGTGGCGATCTGGGAGGAAAGGGCAATTACGAGGAAGCCAGTGGCGGCGAAGAAATTGAATGTGTGCTTCGTCGCCTTTCTCCGATCCAAATCTCGCTTTTGTTCTCCATGTATTTAATGTATGAAAATTACACTTGTCAAATATACCAAATAATACAATAATAAGAATATTTCAAGATTTTTTCTTATATTGTAAAAATAAACTAAGTACGGAGTATGTTTTGGTCACATAGACAACAAGCGTCTGTAATTCATCGTAAACAGAAACTTATTGTTTATAAAACCTAAATACAAATTTACATCTATCAAATATACCAAATAATGTTATCATAAAGAATGTTTCACAATTTTCTCTAGATTGTAAAAAAGAAAAAAATTATAACTACCACTGTTTAGTTACACAAACACTAAATATCTGTAATTCTTGATACACGGACATTTATTATTTGTGTAATTCAGATGAAAATTTCACCCTTCAAATCTACGAAATAGTAATGTACCAAGAACATTTCAGAAATTTTCTTATGCTTAAAAAAGAAATGAAAATTTAAAATCAATACTGTTTAGTCACACAAACATCAAAAGTCTTTATTTTCTTAAACACAGACATTCATTATTTATTCTCTTCCTCAACTATTCAAAATTAGCACAACCTTGTTCAATTTTTTTATTTAATGGATCCTCAAACACTTTTAAAAAACACAAATATTACAAAATAGCAAATATTTAATATCTTTGCAACTTCATTGTAAAAGTTCTATAAGAAAGTTTCTCACAGACAGTTAGACACCATATACCTGTGTGGTTCTGAAAATGATGAAATATCATTATTTCAAAAAAATATAAAATCAGACTCCAAGAAGTCACAAATAAACATCTAAGACCAACAATAATCATAGTAAGAAGTTTTTACACGGATTTGATCTGAACAAATCAAAAGATTGAGGTGTTGATGGTGACGGGGAAGGAGCAGACGGCGACGGAGTTGATACATCGGCGATGGGTAAGGAGGTGGTGGCAACCACAGGGAAGAGACCGCCGGAGGAGTAGTTGATGCAGCACCGGGAAATCGATGTTTTTGGTTGAAGAAGAGAGAGACGGTGGCTTCTCAATTCTCATCTTATCCTAGTCTATTTTGTGGTGGAAAAGGAAAAAAGGAGGGGAGGGGGGGGGGGAGTATATGGGGTACAAGCTGGGGTACACATGCGGTGTACCCCTAGCATATCCGTATCGATATACTTGGGAAGATTTTCTTTTTGGTTAGTGGCTGTTTTGGTTTTCTTTGTCCCTTTCAAAAGAGTGCTTCTTTGGTACACTTTCGATGCATATCATTTTTGTAGATCTCACACGAAAAATCTTTTTTTTTCATTTTAAAAAAGTGTTAACTTAAATAGTAAAAAATCCTTATTTTGCACATATGTAGGTCCATAGTAGATCTTAAGTCCACCATAAAATGTGCCCTTCCAAAAAAAGAAGGAAAATCTCTTTGCTCCAAAATCATTTAGACCTTGTGTGGAGATAATATTCGGAAAAAATACTAAAGTAGGAGTAAAATATT